TTATTTGGCAGTGGCTAAGCCCGCGAAGGGACTTGCAGAGAGACTCATTAGAAAGGCCCATGTCTGCTTGTGTTAAAAAAAGTAAGTGTTACAGTTACTAATCTTTGGTGATGACAGAGCACAGTCTAGAAGCAGATGCTATTCAAAAGGCTATTGTTTTCTTCTTCCATACCAAGATTTAGCAAGTTGTTTTTATATTGTTTTAAGAACTACCTGCTATTGCCAGTATGAAAAAGACCATGCCTAAAGTCATTTTTTTTTCAGCCTAGCAGATCACCGCAGAAAGAATAATATTTGATGTCTTGGGTAAATGCTTGCAAGCAATTGAGACAGGTTATTGAAACAGATTGAGGACTGAAAGGCAGTATCAGACCTGCTGAATGTCTGATTTAGGGCTCTAGCAAAATGGAAAGATAGTTCAGAAGTTTAGAACATCATGGTTTGTTCAAAAGTAGAAGTAGAAGCATCTGTTGTCCACCCATGTTTATTTGTTTTATCCAAGGGTTCATGAGACACCAGAGAGAGGGGTATGCATGTTGACATTTTAGTACAATGTCACCAGCCTTGAAGGAGATACTAAAATGCCATTACTGAAATGGCTCTTCATTATACTAACCGCACTAATCAATAAATACTTTTATATTGTAGATATATCTACAAGCAAGCACAAGGTACCCCGAAGGGATCACCCATATCAGGCCTAATAGAAGAAGCAGTCATGTAACGACTCGAATCCATAGCTCTACCCACCATCCAACCAAAATTCTGGACATGCTACATTGATCACACCTTCGTCATCATCAAACGCTCCCAAATTAAAGAAACACACCACCTACTCAATAACATATTCCCTGGGATCAAATTCACACCCAAAAAGGAAACAGACAACAGACTCCCATTCCTCAAAATCAACATAAGGAGACTAGGCAACTGAGAATTGGAAACCCACGTCTACTGCAAACCCGCACACATGGACCAAATCCTCAGCTTCACAAGCAACCACCCCACCATACCCAAAAGAAGCTGTGTCCAGACCTTCTTCATAAAAGCCAGGACACACTGCAGCACCACAACATTAAGAAAAGTGGAAGAGAAATGGCTGCTTGATGTCTTTTTCCATAACAGCTATCAAAAAAACTTCATATTCTGACACATAGCACCCAAACCACAACACACCACACAGCCAATAACCATGCAAAAACTAACCCTACCATACACAAAAGGGGTGTCAGAAATGACAGCCAGAATTCTCCAACCCCTAGGAATAGCAATAGTCCATAAACCCACAGCTACACTGCACCAGGAATTATCCAGAACCTAAGACAAGATATAGAAGGATGAAAAAAAAACAATGTAATATACAAAATCAACTGTAACCATTGCAACCAATTCTACATGGGACAAACATCTCATCAATTAAAAACCAGGATCCACAAATACCAGCTGGCAGTCAAATGCCATGATCCCAAATCCTTAATCTCTACTCACACAAACATCAAAGAGCACCAATTCGATTGGAGCAAACACAAAAATCATTGGCCACGCTACCACCCGCCATGCTTGTGAGTTCATCGAAACCTGGCACTCCACAAGCAATTGCATCAACAGACACATCAACCTACAACCAGCCTATAAACCCCTCAGAATCCAACTGAACAGCCAACCAGAGACAGCACTGACCCTCAACCAACCCATGCAAGCCCCCCCATCAGCAGTTCACCTCCCAGTGACCCTGACCTAATGTAACCTCCCATCACAAGACCCTCACTTGATACATCCACACCTGAACCGCATATAAATAGAACACTGACATCCCCTACACTCTGCTGAAGATGTTACCTAGTCTGGTAATGAAATGTTCAGAAACCAACCCACAAGCTCGGAGAACAAACCTTCACCCTCACATTATACTAACTACTGCCCAGTGACATATATCTTTGGGGGGATAGGGTTCTTTAGAAGATGGATATCTATGTATTTTGAGATGGTATTGGAGGATACAAATTATCTTTACTTTTTCAGTCTGAGTTCAGACTTGATTTTAAACAGAATCAATTCTGGATGCCTTATGGATCATGTTCTCTGGGGAGACAAAAGTGTAATATTCAGCTTATAGTACTTGCTTTGATGGTTTTGGAATGCTTTCCTATTGTATGCATGATGTAGCATTCTCATATGCTCTCTACTTGACTTTATGGTTATTTCCACAGGTGAAAGAGTTCCACCAGGGTAGGTAGTTACACAGCCCCTACTTATTCTTGATTAGGGAAAATGCATCTTTTAAAAACCTACCTACAGTAGATCAGCAGTTTTCAGACTGTTGGCTGAGAAATTCTAGGAATTGAAGTCCTCACCTCTTAAAGTTGCCAAGTTTGAAAAACACTGATCCAGATTGTAATACATTTAGCCGAGAGTCCATCACAATCTATATACAATCTGAACTGTGGGTTTATAGTCCATCTGAAGGACTGGATGAAAGAAAAGAACGAGGGGTGACATGATAGCTGTGTTCCAATATCATAGGGGCTGCCACAAAGAAGAGGGAGTCAAGCTATTTTCCAAAGCTCCTGAAGGCACGACAAGAAGCAATGGATTGAAACTAATCAAGGACAGAAGCAACCTAGAACTAAGGAGAAATTTCCTGACAGTTAGAACAATTAATCAGTTGGAACAACCTGCCTCCAGAAGTTGTGAATTCTATATCACTGGAAGTTTTTAAGAAGAGATGGGACAACCATTTGTCGAAATGGTATAAGGCAGGGATCCCCAAGCTTTCTTGGTTGGCAGCCTGGTGCAGGTGGGGTGGAGATGCTTTTACACACACTGTGATGACCCAGGGCCCCGAACGGAGGCAAAGCAATTAGCTGGTCAGAATAATTGTCTTTGTAAGCACTGCCAATGTTCACCCAACAGCCCCCACATATGCTGGCACAAGTTCAATAAAACAGTCAACGGAGTTAAACAGTTCTTTAAAGTAAAACAGATAACAAACAAAGTATGATCTTTTCAACGCCCAGCTTGCCTGTAACCTGCAAACTGCAAAACTGAAGACAGCAAGGAAAACTCAGCAGGAAACAAACTTGATCCAAAATACAAAGAGTCCAGGTACAAGAGCTCACATCACAAGAGTTCACGTTTGTTCCCAGCAAATGCCCAACCCCACAGTGTCTCCTTAAATCCCTACTCCCCAGCTGTGCCTTGTGAAGTGGGGCATGACACTCTCCTCCCGAGCAAGTGAGCCTGCCTCCATTGTTCCCTCCTTCTCTCTGCTCTCCTTGCTCTGGGATCTGGTGGGGAGGGGCCTTGCTCCTCGCCTGAGCTCTGCCTTCCCTGTTCCAAACTTAAAGGGCCCTGGCCTGCTTCAGCCTGTTCCTCCCCACAGTCCTCTGAAGCCACAGACACCCCCTCCTGGGCCTCAACAGGGAACTCCATGTCATCCTCAGAGTCAGGCTCGGATGGAGGCATGACACACGCGTGCATGTGTGCACAGATGGAGCTGCAAGTGCATGCACAAATGGGGCCACAAGTGCTCGAGTGATGCTAGCGCCCACATGCCACTGCAATGCTAGTGCGAGTGGGGTGTGTGCGCCTGTATGATGCTCACTGTATCGCTAGCATTTGCGGGCCACCGCAACACTAGTGAGAGTGGGAGGGTGTGCATGCATACATGTGCATGCACTGGCCAGCCACTCAGGCAGCCCAGTGCCAAACAGCCTATGGCCTGGTAATGGGCTGCGGCCCACAGGTTGGGGACCTCTGGTATAAGTTCCGTGCCTGAATAGGGGGTTGGACTAGAAGACCTCCAAAGTCCCTTCCGACTCTGTCATTTTATACTATTGTCTTGTCTGTTTGATCAAAATCTCAATTAGTGTAATAAAGAAAGAGGTAAAACATAAGTAGCAAATGCCTGTCCAGCCTAGTCCTAAATACTTTCAGTAAAGAAATCTCTTACTCTCTTATAAGAGTGTAGGAAATAGTTTTCCTCCAGGGGTTGCAGTTTCATTTCATTCTTACAGTAAATGTGTTTTGGCTTCTGAGGTTCACTACTGATAATGGAATGATATTACTAGACTGTGTGGGAGTGAGATTTTAGGTCCTTTTTTCTTGATTTGGGAAGCAATTCATTCTTTTTTTGTCTTACACAAAACAGATATTTTATTACTCTAGAGACTGAGCACAGCTATTTTAAGCTTCAATCTATGAAAATAGAAAAAAAAGCAGAAAGAGGGGCTCATGCTACAAATCTTGGCAGTGTATTTTTGGGGGGCGGGAGCTTTAGAGACTGCAAAAAAATGGGAGCCTGAAGATTACTTCCCTCCTGCTCCAGATAATTGGTCTTACTTTGGAACTGCACTATTTTTCTCCTTATGATATGATAAGGCTGTTTCCAGTCATGAGAAATAATGTTCTAATAATCCAAAAAAGTTGTTAATTGCCTGGAAGCATCTGTTACTACTCTTGAAACAATAGGGAAACTTACCTCTAAATTAAGCATAAATTTCAAGGAAACTTTTCTTATTTTTCTTTTTTTAAATGTGACATCAATTTACCTCATGTGATGTCAGTAAAATGGCAAATTATCACAATCTTTCTCACAAGGAAAATACGAAAGATGGTTTCATGCTCTTACATATGCCCACTTTCTTAGTTCCTTAGCATTACTACAAGAAGTATTTGTAATACATAAAAGTCATCATTCAGTAATAATTAATAAAACTGCACCCGTTTCACATTAATAAAGAAATACTGTAAACCCTTTAGCCCCAGTCACGTAAATCTTTGCATATCATAAAGTTTAATATACCAGAAGCATCTCAGTTGATTAAAAAATATTCTAATTGCAATGAACAACCCAGTATGGGTTCTTTACCTGTGGCCAGCAACTTAGATATCCAGTTCAAAATGAGAAAAAGGTACAGATGTGAAATGAATGAAATGCAGTGCAATCACATTTTTAAGGAGTAAAATCATAAAATTATAATATATGGTGGTCTTCTTACCCTTCTGTCCGGAATATGGTTTTAAAACTGTCTCCAAGGCTCTTGTACCCAGAGGGATCAGATTTTCCTCTTTGAATTTGGAACCTATGAAAGTAGTGAATGAAAACTTAGAAGCTATAAAAGGGTTTAAAAATATACATTTTACAAATGTTGTAAGAGTTTTCTGAATGTTATGCTCATATTTTATCTCTTTGTTCTCTCTTTAATGTTAAATTATACATTGTTTCAGGTAATTCTTAAGGATGTAAAAGAGATCTGCCATGAATTTCTTTCAAGTGAAATAACATAGTCTACCAACACAGGCTCCATTACAGCATAAACAGGAACAGACTTTATAGAACACACAAATGTCTGCCTTTAATATTTTCTAAAGTATTTCCTAAATACTTTCTTAAAATATTTCCTTAGAATATTTATATACGGGCAGCAACAAATCAACAAACCCTGATACGGAAGGACACATCTAAAAAAAACCCTGAACATAACATTATCTATGGGGAACAGTGGTATACAAATGTACATGGCGATGTAAATTACACTAAATACATATTATTTTGACCAGAGCACACAATTAGTCCTGTATCCCAATTCAACAGGAAGTTTTGAAAATCACTTTACAATTTGTAAAGAACACTATATTATGTTCACAGAATTAAACTGAAATACAGCTTAAATTTTCCATTGCATCATAATCTCACAATATTTAAACATCTCTTGTGTTGGCTCTTTCAAGTTTGTACAGCAAATACAATAACTTTAGATTTTGCATAACACAGACGTCTTAGGGCAGTGATCTTTTCCTGTATTCCAGTTTTACTAGGACATAAAAATCACAGTTCAACACTTCCAATATGCAATCCTTTTACTAGCTCTAAATCAGGATGGTCTGTATTCATTCCTCCTCCCTTTAATTCTACTATAATTTTTGATATGTTATATTGCTTCAGTGCAATGATATTTGAGCAGTATTAATTTATTAACATTCTATTGTTTATATGATTAGAATATTGAAAATAAAAATACAAACAAATATATTGTTTATATACTAATTACAATTAGAATTATCCATTAATTATAGTTTATGATATCAATATTATGCGCAATGTGATATAAATTTACAGCGGTGAGAATAAATGTTGCTCAATACTGGAAGAAAATATCTAGCTGAGAACTTAGACTTGGAGAATATGAACCAATGATAAAGCTAACAGTAAATAATAAAAGTTTAATCAAATATATCACATAGCAAGGCAAATATAATCACTTATAGTTCAGCTTCTAAGTAGGCTTAAATGTCTTCCATAGGGGAAAATAGTAAATAGGAATATCTTTTAAATTGGTATTCCTTTTAAATTATTTTTTGTGTTTTAATTTTTGATAAATTTATTTTGCTGATCTATTTTTTCCTATATATACATAGGAAAACATTTATTTCCCTATTCAGTCACGTCCAATAGTCAGAAACTGTTTGGACAAGTTTTCTTGGTGAGGTTTTTCAGAGATGGTTTGCCATTACCTCTTCTTAGGGTTAAGACAAAGTGATTAGCCAATGTCACCCAGTTGGCTTTGTGCCTAAGGCAGGAAGGACTAGAATTCCCACTCTCCCCGTTTCTAGCTTCATGCCTTAACCACTACATCAAAGTGGCATGTGTGGGCACACACACACACACACACTTATAAAGGTTAATTATACAATAGAGACTTTAATGCTTAGCAATCATCTCAAGATTAAAATGGTGAGATTTCTTTCTTTCCAACATTATATTCAATTTTCTATATTTTTTTTGGTAACCTAGGCTGAATATTCAAAATGAACAGCAGTTTTTTTTAAAACCAACTGATCAATATGATTTTACCAATTATGGATTCATTGAGATCCCTGCGTGTATCAGTTATGGATAACAAATATTGAATCAAACTATCTGCCTTGGATCAGTTCTGTCACACTATCAGTTAAGCTAGAGTCTTCCCTCAGACAAGAGTCCCACAATGTGAATCTGTAGTTTGGAACCCTTCAGAAAGATAGATATATCTATATATACTATAGATATATCTGGCTATTTAAGCTGGCAGGACTGGCCTAAGGGGTATTTTTAGTTGGGTTTTAAAACAATTTTTAAAATAACAAAGGCCAAATTAATATTTCCTTTTAATTACGTTTTAATGGTAGTATTTTTGTACTTTTGTATTTGTTTTTATTAGGCTGTTAGCCGCCCTGAGTCCGCAAGGAGAAGGGNAAAAAAAAATCAAAATTTTAACAGAACCAAGTTCCAAAATTACTACATCTTTATCTCTGAAACTGGAAACCTTGATCTATTCAGACAGGCATCTGTGCCTGAAAATTCTGTCCCATTTTGTTAAAAAGGTAAAAATGTGAAACCATTTGTAAATTTTCCCCCTATTAATTAATGGGTTTTGCAGATCTTGTTTTGATAGAACTGCCAAATCTGGTCTGTAAAAATATACAGTAGTTGATTGCTAGATGGATGCAAAGAATGAGAGAATTCTGTATTTTGTTGTTGACAACCAGCAGTTATAGGATTTGAAGTCCCAATCTTCTAAAATCAAGCCTGAAGCAAATTTTATAATGGTTCACGTTCTTATTACTTCCAGCTTCAGATCATATTTTAGGACACGCATTGAACTCTATAAAGAAGCTATGCTAGTTTACACTTTTGTGTTATGAAAAGTACAATGTTAGTGTATTTTCACTGGAAGTCTCAAATATTGGTCAAAGACTTAAGAGAAAAAATAAAAAAGTAGATAACCACAAGCCCTTTACTGCAGGATATTGATACAATTTAAAACTAAAAAAAACAAACAAAAAATGAAGCAAAAAGAGATACAGATACCCTTCCATCAGCACTGTTGGTGGGAAGAATTGGGGATTTTTTATTGACAGAGACTTTGTGGAGGTAGAAAGTCTTGCTCATATCTTCATATGGTGTCCTTTTTATATTGTCCCAAGATGTGCTCTGATCTCCCCAATCATCTCTAAATCTGGGGGTCAAACTGTTAAAAGTGTATGTTCATTACTTATTAAGAGGTGTTAACTCTGCACTCACATACAAGATGGCCAGAAACTTTCACCAAGTCAAACAATTGTGCAAAAATTTAATTGTTTGTAGCTCTGGGTTTAACTTGTTACTTAGTTTGATTATGAAACATCTGCAAGAAAACAACCAGAGAGTACCAAGGACCCCGCTTTTAATTAGAGATGCTTTTTTTAATAGTCTTGTTGTTGTTTTCCCCCTAATAACAAATTGTTACTTTAAATTACTCTTTTCTTATATTGTATGGGCTGGTCAAAGATAGTAATAAAGATTTATTACCATTCAATAAGAATTTTTAAAAGGCTTATTATGTAACTTTTTTCTAACATTCATTATTCAAGCAGATTTTAACACAGTTTTACATTTTTTAATTATTAAAATAAAACCAATATAAATAATTAAAATGATATGATCTATCTAAAACATTTCTCAGTGTACAGATCCAGCCTTGTGTTTTGGCCTACTTCTTTTATCCCTCCTAGTCACGATGGACAACAGTCAGCGATTATGTAGCTGTAATTCAGAACATCTGGAAGAATCCAGATCAGGGGAAGATTGATATAAATGACTTTTAATTACAATAATTTTAATGAAAGAGAGATGTATTAAAATTAATGAGTCATAAAAATGTACTAATGAGGCTTATTTCTTGTGCCCTTTTTCCTGAGATATAATAAAATACATTTGGCAATTATGAAAGAAAATGCATACTTCACTTGAATGCACTTTCAGTTGGGCCCCTAATAAAAATAGTTCTGGCACATCTGGAATCTCTGTCTACGGTAACTTCTTTTATTAAAGAAAAAAAAAACTATTGCCAAGTTGGCAGTGTAGCAAACACTCTTCAGCAGCTTTACACTCCAGTAAGAATTTGTTGCATGACTTTCTTTTTTTTCAAAGAGCTCTTGGGAGGATTAGAAAAATTCACAACCTCCAATGGCATTGCACTAAGTACAAGAACATTAGTCAACCAGAAATGTGTGTGTGAGGGAGTGAGGGAGGCAGTGAGGGAGGGGTGAACTTAAATTTAAATGTGCTATTTAAATATGGTATATATATTAATTTGATAAGCCAAAAATCATATAAGGATTGTGTATTGATGATTCCCCCCTCCCAAAAAAAAGAAGCTTATAAGGGAAGATAACAAAAAAAAATTACTTAGAATACATTTGGGAGAGGTACAGAACAGAAAGTGAATTAAGGTGACACAGATGAAATACTGCTATAGAATGCAATATATATGTGCAAAATAACATAGCAAATTTGTTATCACCACAAATTCTTTGCAGGCATTTGGTAACATCGAACACTGAATGCACTTGAGGGAGGTGCAAACTGTCACCAAACATCCAGGCATTCATTAGCTGAGGATGCATTTCACACTTACAGTTGTGTTCTACAGTTGGCTGGATTTATATAACATGCTTTGTGGTGATTTGTGGTCTATGGAGTGTAACGGCTGGATTCTCACAACGGCACTGAAAAATGTGACCTATGACCTTTTTTCATCTTTATGACCTTTCTGGCATATCATGATCATATGATCAAAATTCAGATGCTTAGCAACTGGCTCATATTTATGACCTTTGCTGTGTCCCAAGGTCATGCTAACAACTTTTGTGACCTGACAAGCAAAGTCAGTGGGGAAGCCAGATTCATTTAACAACCAGGTTACTAACTTATCAGCTGTGGTGATTCACTTAACAACTATGGCTAAAAAGGTTGTAAAATGGGGCAAAACTCACTTAACAAATGTCTCACTTAACCACAGAAATGTAAGGCTCAATTTGTAGTCGTAAGTTGAGGACTACTTGTATTTATCTCTGGGGCAAGAAAGGTTGTAAAATGGGGGCAAAACTCACTTAACCACTGTCTTGCTTAGCAACAGAATTTTTGGGATCGATTGAATATGATGTTCATTTTATGTTTAAAAAGTGAGAAGCTAACCCAATGTTCAGCAGTTTTGTTCATTTTCACTCTGGGCAGTTGCTTCTAAAACTCCATTTTGTTAGCAAATATGATGCAAATATC